TAATATAATTTATTCCAAGGCCTCATGGTTTCCCTTATTTACAATAACTAGTATATGTCTAGTACAAGCAGAAAAGGTCAAAAGTTATGTACATATGACCATATAAGATGATGTGAAGTGAAATGAACCCCAAGATAGGGACACAGTGGGTTTTTTTCTTTCTTGCTATTGTTTTTAACATATTTATAATGTACTATGTGATCTTTTTTGTTTCTCTTGTATGTTCTTCCCCCATGGTATAACCTGTTTTCACTGTATTTGATTCCGGTGCCCTGCATCTGGTATATACATTTTTCTAATTTGGGAAGGGGAAGGGAAATAACAAAATGCTTAAATAAGGATACAGGTTGACCCATTGTAACAATGAGATGTACAATTCACTATGTTGAAACTGAACTTAACAATTTGGGGTCCGGGGAGTTGGGGAAGTGGGAAGGGAAGGGATGGTCTCGGAAAAACAAAGGAGGAGGTAACAATGCTAGATAGGAAATGTACTCATTACCTTACTCATGTAACTGTAACCACTCTGTACAGTGTCTTTACAATAAAAACATATGTGTATATATATATATATATATATATATATATATATATATAAAGGTTATTGTCTATAAATCTTTTCTTATGAAAGCATTCAATCTTGCCAATATATTTTTAGTTCTGGCATTTTTTTCCTGCAGGTCCTGGGGCTTGATCTCTGGGTCTAGGTGCTGTTCCTAAGCTTCTTTTGCTCAAGAAGAACACTCTACCACTTGACTTCCAGCTTTTTTTGATTAGTTTATTTGACATAAGAGTCTCATGGACTTTCCTGCCCAGGCTGGCTTTGAACCACAATCTTCAGATCTCAGCTTCCTGAGTAGCTAGGATTACAGTTGTTAGCTACCTGTGCTTCACTTAGTTTTGATATTTTTTAACTGACATATTTGTAAATATTTGTGGGTTATAGTGTGATAATTTGATGCATATAATAGGTGATATGTAATTGAAAAAATCCAAGTCCTTAACATTTCTAACTCCTAAACCATTTATCAATTATATTGAGACACTTTGGACTATTAGTTATTTTGGAATATTTCACAAATCATTGTTATCTCTAAGTATCCTGCTGTTCTTTGGAACACCAGAACTTACATGTATTTTAGCTGTAGGCTCCCCTTAATTTATATGTTTATATACTGTAATGACTATGACTTAAGGAATAGAGAAAATAAAAATCTATAACTATGCCACTTAATTAAAACTAAATCAAAATGTTCCTTAGCTACTCAGTTAATTGGAACAAGAAAATGTTTTCAGACACATAAATAATTATTCTAGTTTTTACTCCCTATCTCTGTTGATAATTTTAACCTATTTTGCACAACTACTAGAATGAATTTGACCACTTTTATTCTTTACTATTTATTTTCAACTTGCACATTATTATGAAAGATACTAGAATATACAAAAGAAAGAATCCAATAATTGAATTTGCTGGCAAGTATATCTAGCAAAGTATATCTAGGATGACTATATATATTGCTGTTAAAACAGATATTTTCTAATAAATTAAAACAAGTATTTACCAAGCCAGAAACAAATAAAACTGTTGTAAAAAACTTAAGGAAAATTCTTGACCAATTGAGACGAAGTTTCATACTAATCATAAATAACTCACTGTAACTACCTTAAGCCATAAATGCATTGCAAACTATGATAACTAAAATGTCTCCTATTCTGATGCATATATTTTGCTTTTTCTTTAGACCACTCTATCACTTCTTTATTCTGTTGTATCTATTGGATACGAGGAGCCATGTGCCAGAGGACAGGACTAGACGGAACAGCCTTCACATACATCCTTTGGACCTCCAATCTCAAGATTTCTTTTTTTTATGGGAATATCAACAGTTTATCACATTTCAAATGATTTTTAGTGTGTCACACAACTCACAAACAAGTTGTCCTATATAGGTAGAAATCTGTCAGGAAACTGATAAGAAATAATAGAATTTAAAAGAAAATTGATGTTCCCTAATGCCTAATGCTTTTCAAACTAATTCTTTTCAGATCTCATCTTCAGGGAAGAGCCAGTAAAGTATAGGAAAACCATTAAAGAAAAAAATAGATGAATAAATTCATCACTTTGTGGAAATGTCTTTAAAAGGACAAATCATTTCTCATAGTAAGTGACTGAAGTAAAGAAAAAAATAGATAGCTGGACAGTGAAGAGAACCAAAAGAAAGAAAATAGAGACAGGAAAAGCAATCACCTTACTGAAGCTAAGTTTCCTTGATAGTGGTTTTAAAATACTTTTAGACTTAACTCCTCCCCCCAATCACTGAATTTTATTCATTGGCACACTCAATGAGCAGAAAGAACAATTTTCCAGGTTGATATTACAATGGTAATGAATCTTTTGATTCAAAATCTCCATTATTTTTGATAGAAAATTCTTGTGTCATTTTGCCAACAGATATTTCTTAACAAATAAGCAAAAGCTATACAAAGGCTTTATTTGTGTTATGAGTAGAACAATTCTGACTCTGAATCAGTCTCTAAGTAAAGTTGACTGAATTCTCTGGTTAATAGATTAGAGTGGACATTTAAAATATTCTAACACCATGGGGCTGGGAAGGTAGCTCAGTGGTATACTGCTTGCTTTGAATGTTTGAGGCCCTGGGTTTGATTCCTCAACACCACATAAGCAGACAAAGCCAGAAATGGTTCTGTGGCTAAGTGGTAGAGTGCTAGCCTTGAGCTGGAGAGTTGAGGGACAGCACCCAGGCTCAAAGTTTAGGTCCCACGACTGACAAAGAAAAAAAAAATTCTAACACAAGTATTCGATGAAAGTTTCCTATTGCAAAGTTACAGAATCTTTCATCTGTTTCTATTATCGTTTTCATCTCTTTTCATGATTTCCAGATACAATTTTTGAATTTTCTTTCTTTCTGGAAAAATTGGCTTGATTTATTTTTCCATGTCTAAAGCTCCCATTCACTAAACCTCTAGAATGACTTCTTTAACTTATGACTTAACAGAAAATACTTCCTTCAGCTAATCCAACATCTTTATGTTTCTAGACTATGGTAATAAATTTGTGAGTTCGTATCTCACTTAAGCCTTCTGCAGGATATACCCTTGGGTAGCATTTTCTCTATTATAAATGTCTCCTCATTTGGTCTTCCATGGCAGCAGCATCTTCTTATTTTCTTTTCTAGTTCTTTAGTTTTTCTTGTTGATGCTTTTATTTTCTACAGGTGCTTCAGGGATGGAAGTGTAGAGTGGTTGCTCAATAGTAGAGTGTTTGCCTAGCATGAACACAGCCATAGGATAGATTCGCCAGCACTGCAAAATAAATGTATAAATAATAATAACAATAATAATAGTAAACATTAATGCTATTAATAATAAAAATACAATATATTTGTCTATATTTATTCTTCAGTTCTATTTTCAATATTTTTCTTTAACTGTACTCAATCTGAAATTTTTCATATTCATCTAGGAATATATTCAACTCCTCAAATTCAATTTTTCCTTATTTTTATGTTCCTAAATCTCTACCATTGTAACAAATTTTCCCTAGGTTCTATTTTACCATATATACAATATTTATATGGACATCTAATAGTTAACTCAGATGTAGTGAATCATCCACAATCTCCCACTGTGTTCTTTAACTTCACACATTTCACACCTCATTGCTTGCATCTTCAAATCCAATTATATTTGCTTACTTATTGTGTGTGTATGTGTGTGTGTGTGTATGTATGTGTGTGTGTGTGTATGTATGTGTATGTGTGTGTGTGTGAAGGCACTTGAAATCAGATCCTATCAAATTATTTAAGTTGTAGATTATGGTGTGTGCATGTATCAAATCATCATGTTGTACATTTTCTTTTATTTGTTTATCTTTAAATATTTATTTTTTATTGTGAAAATACTGTACAGAGGGGTTACGATTAGATGGGCAAGGAAATGAGTACATTTCTTATCAAGCACTGTTGCCTCCTCCTTTGTTTCCCCTTCCCATCCCTTCTCTCTCCTCCCCTCCCCCCCCCCATGTTGTACATTTTCAATCTGGGGAATTTTTTCTCAGTTATATCTCAGTAAATATGAGAAAAATTCTCATACTATTCTCTTTATTTCTATTATAATAACTTTGGTCTGGACTTATGACTCTTAGTATGTATGTAAAATAGCCCACTGAATGTTCTGTTTTGTTTTGTTCCCACACCAATCATTGCTTAAAATGGCATTTATTGAGTTTTCTTAAACAATGAAATTTTTCTATTACTTGCCTGCTTGGAATCCTTCTTTTTTTTATTGTGAAAATACTGTACAGAGGGGTTGCAATTACATGGGCAAGATAATGAGTACATTTCTTATCAAGCATTGTAGCCTCCTCCTTTGTTTCCCCTTCCCATCCCTTCCCATCCTCCCCATGGCTCCCACCCAATCCTCCTCCCCCCCTGTTTCCCCCCCCACCCTGCACCAAAGTTGTGAAGTTCGTTTTCAACATAACGACTTGTACATCTCATTGTTGCAATGGGGCCACCTATATCCCTATTTAAACAATTTGTTTTTTCCCTTCCCCTCCACAAATTATACCAACATGAAATACAGTGAAAGCAGGGGTTACACCATGGGGGAGGGACATACAAAGCAACAAAAAAACAATCTTATAAATGTGTTAGTAACAATCGCATGAAAAAAAAACATTTGAATACATATATTAGGGTTCATTTCCCTAACATCAACTTATCTGACCTTTTCTACTTGACTCAGACATATACTAGATATTGCAAATAAGGGAAACCATGGGACCTAGGTTTCTTTGGGCCTGGCTTACTTCACTTAATATAATTTTTTCCAAGTCTTTCCATTTCCTAACAAATGGGGCAATGCCACTCTTTCTGATGGAAGCATAGAATTCCATTGTGTATATATACCACATTTTCTTGATCCATTCATCTACTGAGGGGCATCTGGGTTGGTTCCATATCTTAGCTATAGTAAAAAAATGATGGTTAGATGCCACGAAGTAGGTGGCAATGTCTTAAATGTATGTGCATTGTCAGGCCCAAGGGCCTCTTCCATCCTTGTCAAGGGGAGTGCTAATCTTTTCTCCTTTCATACAACACCTGCTCAGAATCCTTTACTGCCTTTAAAGTAAATGCAGAATTACTTTACATGGACTCAAGAGTCACAGACTTGACTCCTGCCCATTTCTGTTCCCAATCCCTCCACTTTACCACCAGTCATCATTCATGAGTCCTGTAATTACCATATGTATGAAATATTCCTTGATTCTCACTTTCTAAAAAGGATGTCTTACATATAAAATATGTTCAAAGCTAATTATAGTCATTTTATAAAATTAAAAGATAATTTCCTCAGCATAATAAAGATAAAGTATAATTAATGTCATCTTGATAGGGTACAGAGAAATACTTCTGAGATTCTGAAACCTAAGTTTTCATGTTGTGTCTCTTTAATAGTTGTGTGACTTTCATCAAATTATATAACCTTCTAGGTCCTCGGTTTCTTATGTATGAAATGATGTTGTAGTGTTAGATCATTTCTCCAGCCTCCTCTAGCTTTGACTTTCTACTGTTCCAGGGTAGTAATTTAATGAGACACATTAACTTTTCGGGCCTCTAAGGAACAATTTCTTTAGCACTCAAACATACTGTTTCACCCTGGTGTCTGTCCTATATCTGAGTATGTTTTGCCCCAGGGAATACAGACTCAGACTGGCTGTGGTGGCAGAGAATATTTTCTCATTTTCTTTGGTCTTATATAAAGGGGGGAAAGTAGTATCATAACTCTAGTGGATTTATTTCCTGCTAACTTTAAGCACTAAGAAATGGTTGAAAATATATCCCCAATGTCATTGATTAAAACGTCCTGTGGAGACAAATTAATTTTCTCTAAATGACATTTGAAAACTTGCTAAGGGCAAAGAACAGGCGAATTCAGCCATCCAATGAGTCATTTTATAATTCTATGATGAAATTGACACCTTGTATTTGTGGAACATACAGGACAAGGTGAATTTTCCTAGCTATTAGGAAAACACCTACTGCTAATTTACAAAAGGGAGATATAACCAACCCTAAAATTATGAGCCCATTGAAATAACTATGTACGCTATAAAGATATTTGCCAAGATTTTGGTGACAAGACGTGAAAGAGTTATGGAGAAATTAACACACAAGGACTAAGCTGGATTTATGAGGCATGAAATAATTACAGACAATTTGAAGAAGAATTTTATGCTAATGCAATTGATAGTGATATTTAGAGTCTAGTGTTTGCAAATTCTGTTAATATCCAGGAAGTGTGTAATAGAGTGGAGTAGACATAGCTAAACAAAGACTAAATTATGGAAGTTATAAAAAGTCTTATTTTCAGAAGATAGTATTATTATTGTAGCAAAAGGATAGTATTATTGCATTCTCATCTCCTCAAGTTTCAACATAGAAAATGCAAAGATTTGCAGTCTAATTTAAGGAACATGGGTGTCTAAGTGAAGATAATTGCTTTATTTGTTTGTATATTTGCTACATGTTTTGTTTCTTTGTTCTCATGGTCTAGGATTGAACCTCAGGATCTTGTACATGCTAGGCAGGTTCTCTACATTGAGCTATAGCCTTGACCTTGGTTTCTTGAGATAAGAGTTTAGCCTATCGGTTAAGGTCGGTCTGGTAATGAACTCTCAATTCTTCAACAGATTGACTACATGTTGATAAGACATTATTCAGCAACATGTATTTATTGTACTTAGTGTAATCTTTTGATAATGGCATTCCCGGTATGAATTTTTTTTATATATGTTCTCAGTCATGGGGATTTGAACTAATTTAGGAGTTACAACTTAAATGTTGAGTATATTTTATTGTTACTATTCTAAAGTAGCTGTGATTAAAAGGTATGTAATCTTTTTGACTGAAGAAATAAATATTTGAAATTTCACAGAATTAAAAACTTTTGAGACATATTTGTGTCTAATGTAATGATGGATTAGACACTCAGAGGATAAGTGTCTATGCTTCTACCAAAATACCTGAATCTTGGATAAAAATATATTGTTCATTTTCAAGAAATAAGGGAAACAAATTTCTAAAGGTCCCAACAAGCAATTAGCAGAGCTATATGCAGAAATCTGAGCCAGAAGTAGTGAAGAATACACTAACCTCAAAGCTATGTAGTCGTAGGTGTGAATATATTCCAATGCTTAGATAGGGCCCAGGAGTTTAGCTCGTCATAGAGCTCCTAACCTAGCAAGCAACAGGCCCTTAGCTCAAATGCTGGTACCCCTCCCCAAAGTGCTATTATTTTGTATCACAGTGTTTAGGAGTCCAAAGAGACTCCCCTGTAAGTGAGGGCTTTTGAGTAGCTACCAGAACCTCTTGCCTCATAGAAGAACTGAACATCAGTCTTCTATGTTTTTAAAGTAAAACATTTCATGTTTAGGCCTCTAGTTCTCATGGATTAGATCAAGGAAAGAAATGTTGATTTCAGAGACCATAAAATACAGAGCATCAGCATAAAGAAGAAAATATTTTGTTGGCATAATACTAACACAATTAAAATGAGAACTAAGTATGGTATGCTAAGTGAATCACAAAAGTAATGTACAATAAAAGTGATAACCAAATATAAAAGATATTAAAATTTTAATGAAATCTGTAATAGGATGTAAAGCAGAAAGGATATTTATATGACTAGGCAAAACTTAAAAGTGAATTATTAACAAAATATAACATCTGAGGAAATAAGCAGACTAAATAAATTGATTGTAATAGAGTCCAAAGGGGGAGATAATACACACATATCTATTCACAGCTACTGACTGAGATTAGAGCGCGAAGTTCACATATGTCTAAGTGGAGTCACAGAATTTGAGACCAAAGAAAACTAAGAGAAATATAATGAAGAATTATTTGTAGACCAGCATGGTAGACATGCTGATTGTGATTCCAGCTACTTCGGAGGCAAAGAATGAGGTGGAATACAGTTTTAGGCTTGGTCAGGTAAACATAAAATGAAATTCTATCTGAAAAATAAACTCATCCCAAAAGGCCTGAAGGTGGGGCTCAAATGGCACTTCATCAAGTATAAAGTGCTGAATTCAATACTCAGATTAAGGAAGGAAGGGAGGAAGGAAGGGAGAGAGGGAGGGAAGAAGGAAGGGAGGGAAGGAGGGAGGAAGGAAGGGAGGGAAGGAGGGGAAGGGAAGACAAAAAAGAATGAATGAGGTATAATAAAAGAGAAAGAAAATAGAGAGACCTCTATAAAATTTCCAAAACAAACAAAATGAATTCTCAAATGTACAAAGTACAAATTATAAAGTTTACCAAGGTACCCATCTATCCTGTAGGCATTTGTACTCCTAGAGGAACACATACACTTTAGTAAAACTTCATATCGAGACAATATTAAGAGAAATGATCTTATAAACAACCACACAAACAAAGCAAAAGCTTAAAAATAACTAAAATCGTACTAATGCATGTTTCTCAAGTGGAAATTATGAGTCAAACACCGGAATATTTCCAATATTGGAAGAAAATAACTCAAAATGCAGACATCTATGCACAAGAAAATCATCTTTGCAAAATGAGATCTTATGAATCTTTTTCAGCTAAGTAAACTATGTAGCTTCATAAAAGGATTTTCTTATCTCATGGAAGAAGGAAAAATGACTCGATAAAGGAATCCTGAGATGCATCCAGAGCTATTCAAAAACATGTAGGAAAAGACAATAATACAACATTACTAGACACATTTTTCCAAAATGTCTCAATAAAAATATCAACAATGCTTAGGTTGTGAAAGATAGGTTGTGAAGAAACTGAAGAACTCACAAATTGCTGTTATGAAGCTATAATAGCACAAATATCTAACAGTTAACCCAGTAATGATACTATGAGCTTATTCCAGAGAAATGCATCCTTATGTTTATACCTCTACATGAGTTTTCACAGCAGCTTTATTCACAATAGCCAAAATTTAACAACCCACAGAGGCTAACGGGCAAAAACATATTATAGTGGAATGTCACTCAGAGATAAAAATGGGACACATTATTTAATCACATAACAAGTTAGGTGGGCCTTCAGAGAAATAAACTGGGAAAAGTCAATCTCACATTACACTTATGTTATATTCTTGAAATGATAAAATTATAGAAAGCTAAGAAGGGATGAGATAAATGGGTTTGAATATAAAGGGACAGCATAAAGTCCAATTGTGATGATGGAGATGTTTTTTGTTTTTGTTTTTTTGAGAAAAGAAATTTATTTACCCACAGTCAAGAGGCTGGGAAGTCCAAATGCAAGGCTTCTGGCAAGGCCTTTTGACAGCATTGTGACATGATGGAAGCAGCACATGGCACGGTGTTGGGAGTGGGGGAAGACCACACTTGATCTTTTATTAGGAACTTGCTTCCGCTATAATGGCATTAGTCATTCACGAGAACAAGACCCATGATCCCAACCACTCTTACTAGGTCCTGCTGCACAATGCCATTACATTGGGACCAAGTTTCCAACTCATAAACTTGGGCACCCATTCAGAACATGTTCCCTCTCTTTGGATGCCAATTTCCATCGACCTAATGTACCAAGTTAGCTCACGCTCATCCCAGAAGACTTTCATCTCTTGGCTAAAACAGAATCATCTCTCTTTCATACATTCCCTCTACCTTGTCTCTATTTTCACAATCACGTTCCTCTCTTCTTCCTCTATAGATCCCACATGGCCGAGCCCTAATGCTATGCTTTCTAGAAAACCTTTGCTCATTCTGCCGCCATCCACCACCCAATGTGAACAATCAACCTTTTCTCCAGGTTCTGATTTCATTCTGTTTGTCCAATTTTGATAGGAGCAGTTCCATTATCCCTTAGGAAATATTTATCTATGTGTTAATACTACTGACAAGGCTAAGAGTTTGTTAAAGGCAGGGATTCTGTTTTAATCATCTCTCTATTCTCAGTAGGTAATCCAGGTTAGGCCATACATCTAGAACTGATGAATGAATAAACAGCCCAGTCATTTATCCATTTCATAAGCATCCACAGGCCATCTGACTATAGCATCCACTGTACTAAGGTTACTAAGGGCAATATTAACCACA